CGATAAAGTAAGAATCTAGCCGGAAAAAATTACGTGTTGAATGTAGCCCGCCATTGGAATTTTATAATCAACCTAACGCTTATTGTCAAAATTTCGACCGTTTATCAACGCAAACTATCATATGACCAATTAGCTAGCCTGACCAGGCTGCAATACCCATTTCAATACACGTCTTTCGATGTATGGTCGTTTATTGGATGAACTTGAATGACCAACATCACCAGAAATATGAAAATAGAAATAGCGACGGAGATGGCTATATAGTGAGCTATAAGTTGTGATTGGTTTCCCGCAAACGATCCCGTATAAGAAACGTTCTCTGTGGCGGAGCGAAGGGGGCCGTCACATGTTTCAGAATCAGTGATGAAAATATGGTCTTAAATATCCGAACACCAGCCTGATTAGGCTCTGGCTGCTCTGCGCTACTGCAGCAATGTTATTAATGTCAAATTTCTCTCCTAATTAAAGCACATACGCATACAATACTATTATATTATCCCTGTAATATTAATCTATATGAGCGCGTTCGCAGTGGTGAGCGGCGGGAGCAGCTGGTACTATTATAGGCGCGTGAGCTTTTCTTAGGAGAGCAAGTTGACATGAATGGCATTGCTGCAGTAGCGAAAAGCCCAATCCGGATGGTGTTTGGGAATTTACGAGCACATTTTCATTACTGACTCCAGGTTCTAAGTGCCTGTAACACGGCAGGGTCGTAGCCTGTGAGGGGGCAAGGGGGCAGCAGCTGCCTCCAAGATTTTGGAGCACAATTAAAAATTAAGCTTAGCTAATAATCGTAAATAATCCTAACGTGATTTTTTTTGGTCACTTATCCGTGAAAGCCTTGTCTAAAACCCATCCCTACCACACTAAGGACGTCGATCAAGAGCTGCGCCCGTTGCTCATCATTACACAGTTGAGTCATGAAATATTGCCCCCCTATGAATTTTTTTCAGCCTATATATATATATATATATATATAGAACGGACATAGCTTATATACTTACCGAGAGCCGTTCGTGCTGGTATAGCGTCGACGCTAAGCCAGAAGGAAACCCACGAGCAGACAACGAGTAGCGCACAGGGGGCGAAGCTCTGCGACATGTGGTAGCCGAACTCACGCTCGAACTTAAACTGCAGCTTCAGACAGCTGAAGTTACCTGTACGACGTCACAGAAAAACGCGGAGAGAACGTTAGGTACATGTAGAGCAGAGGATAGAAGCATAGATTAGAGAGAAAAGAAGGTAAAGAGTAGAGGTACAGTGTAAAATAAAGGTACAGCAGAAGGTAGAGGTAGAGTAGAAGGAGAAAAGAGGTTAGAGTAGAGGTACAGCAAAGGGTAGAAGTAGAGTAGAAGGAGAAAAAAGGGTAGAGTAGAGGTACAGTAGAAGGTAGAGGTAGAGCTAAAAGTAAACGTAGATGTATAATAGAGAGCAAATACAGAATAAGGATACAGTAATGAGTAAAGTAGTTGATTATGGGTAGGGTAGAGCGCAGAGGGTTTATAGAGAGTAAAGGGTAGAGGCATATTAACGATCAGAGCCACCGTACAGGATAGGATAGCTACAGAGAATGTTAGTTATGAGTAGAGTTGTGACGATGACCGCATTTGACGATAGCTACGACGCTGACGTTGACTGTGATGAGAACCGCAAATCCAGTGTTGACAGAGGAATCATTAGACCCATGCTCTCCGCACCGCCGCCATCTTATATCTACCGCAGCCAAAAATATTATCTACCACCGTTATCTTTTATTTACCACCGCCATTTTTTCTATCACCACAATCTTTTATCGATGCTAGGAAAGCAAGAAATTTTATCGTTCGCATCGATGAACGACGATTATAGAAATATCATCAGTCCATCTTTTATAACAGTATGTTATCTAGCTGAGCTTCGTCTTAAGACTGCGCGTCATCGGTACCGGTCCAGTGAGGGTTGAAGCAGTTGATGGTTTCCGCTTCCGGCCACTTGTACTGCGGGAGTTGAATCCTTCTGTTGACGTCAATCGGATTCGGTTCCTTCCACACGAACTGGATGTCCTTGTCCGTGTGTCCGACTGTAACAACACACGGCACTCACCGATGGGCGGTAGCAACAGTATACCATGGGGTAATGTACCAAGCAGGCACATCAAAGGGAACACTGGCAGCAGCAACAGTGGCAGCAGCAGCAGCAGCACTAGCGGCAGCAGCAGCGACGGCAGCAGCAGCAGCAGCACTAGCGGCAGCAACAGCGATGGCAGCATCAACGACGGCAGCAGCAGCGACGGCAACAGCAGCAGCAGTAGTATACGACGTGGTAATACGCTGCGACAATAGTTTACCGGCGTGAATACACAGAACCATTATGCGTGCTTGGGATGAATGCTGCTGTCGCGTATAAACATTATCGATTTAACTAACGCACCGCCATGAAACGGAAGAAACCGACGCTCCGCATGTTTTACGTGTGTAATTACGTCGATAACCCGCAGTCGTTTTAAGGCGCGTTCACACGG